TGCAAAAAAGTGCAATAACCTACAAAAAAATTGAAAATCGTTTTTGTTTTTTTAACATATATTTCTTGTTAGAGAAATTTAAGAGGCTTATCCCTCAAAACTGTAAATACAAAAAAGTTGCACAAACTAGTTTCCCACCACAGGAAATTTATTTTAAGTGTCTTCATAGTTTTATTTTTGAAATACACCAATTTTTATATACTGCAGGGAAAACGGAAATAAATATTAAAGTGCAAATTTGCAAAATAACAGCATATGCATCAAAATAAACTATTTCCAGCAGTGCAATATGAGTCCTAAACATCCCAGAAATGACACAAAGTCATGAAGTCAAACATAACTTTTAAAAACACAAGTATAAGCTCATGAGGCCACGATGGTAAAAAAAACTACATTTCCGCAAAATGACGTCACTTCCGGTTTCGGGCAGGTTATGCGGTCATGTGATAGTTCGCGCTGATGGACGTAGGAAGTGTTACAAACAGCTGATCGGATCGGCAAAGCGTGTTTCTGGAATATCATGTTTTTGTTGCTGCAAGTGATTTTTATGCAGTTTTTGCAAAGCTAAACTGTGACCTAGGACAAGCTGATGGCATAAGATGTAAGTACAACTCCTCCAGTTTCATATGCAAAAAAAATGATTGCGCTAGCTTATGTGGTTGCAGAGCTACCGGGATTTAAAAATAGTTACGCAAAACAGAGTGTGCCCGCTCCGATTGGCTGTAAAGGGTTAATGTTGAATTCTCTGGCAGCTGCTCTGTTCCCATGTTGTTGCAGTGTATTAATGACTAACCTCATATTGTGGATGGATTATCTCAGTTGTTCTTCTGAATGAAGTTTGGTCCGTTTATAACATCCTTGCATTGTCCCTGATCATCGAGAACCCTCATGTTAACTTTTATGAAGTGGAAAAAAGTTAGCGTTCATCCTCAAGATTCACGATGTTTATGCTAACATAGCTGTGTTGTTAGCAATCACGTAGCACATCATTAAATACCAACTTGTCCAACTTTAATAACCCTACAAAAGTCACTGCTGTTTAGTTTTCTGTCTCATTTATGTTGGAGACAGAAAACTGCTGGTATATAGTTTGAAGTCCACACTTTCAACCCAAGTTCTAATGGAGAGTCTGGGTCACTCTGGGTCACCTCGTGTAATGGCGACTCTGGGCCTGGACTACTGCGGAGTAGTCTATGCCCAATCGGAGTAGTCACAGCAGAGCTATCACCGGGCCAGCCAGGGAAGGCGCTGGCCCATATAATGGCTGAGCTCCCAACCATCCAAAGGGAGCAGTGATATTATGTTCAGTTTTGCTTCCCCTGTCTTTCAGTCAGATTAGTATCAGTTGCGTTCCCACCTGTGTTCTATTCCCTTGCAGTACTTTTTGTCTATATATTGTCGGCTTTTCTCTCTGTTCTCTGTCGCTCCTACCTTTTCCTTGTCAATTGTCACAATGGATTGAACAGACACAGACACAGCTTTGAAACTGTGCCCACCATCAGAAACAATGTCCTACAGGATGCCATAGATGGAAGAAGTAGGTCGTGGGCACTGGGCAGCTAGATGGTCTCCAGGGTAGACGGGAGCTTAGTGAACGCCACAAAAACAATCGACAGTAGTCAAAATAGTGTTGTTACCTGCAGACGGAGGAAGGCCGCTTACGAAATCCAATGCTATGTAAGAGCAAGGCCATGTCAGGGATGGCAGAGGTTGTAATAGGCCGCCATAGGGTTGGTTTCCGTGTTTATTCTAGGCAGAGGTTGCACAGACTGAAACGTATTAATGGTTGCTTCGAGGCAGAGATGGCCAACAGAAATAACATCGGAGAAAGATAATAGTGTTGTGGGTACCATGATGAAATGGGCAGTGTAGTGCCCGAGGACAGACACATGTCGGGCTTGTGGGTATCCTAGATTTCTATGTTTTGTTTTGTTTTTTTCATTTTTATGGTTTAACGGTCCAGACGATGAAAGGTTGAACTGTGCCCACCAGCCAGTGCCTCCATACTTCCAAAGTGAGTTCAATTGCCAGAGGTTCCCACTTGGCACTGACCACTTGGTGTCTGTCAGATAGAAAGTTAAAGATCCAGCTGCAGAGAGATCCTAGATCCTGCAGTTTCCTTTTCAGCTTCGAGGGAACGATGGTATTGAATGCAGACCTGTAATCTACAAACAGCATTCTCATACGTGTCTCTCTTCTGCAGGTACGAGAGGGCAGTATGTAGTGTCAGGGCTATGGCATCATCAGTTGTCACTGTATGCAAATTGTAGATGGTCCACTGAGTCAGGTAGTACAGAGCATGCGGTACACAACAGCTGTAGCTGCTTATGTCATGGTTACTAGGTAACAGAAACCACGGGTCGTAGGCTAGACCATCCAATTTCACAGCCTTGCCCTTCTGGTCTACAGGACCTTTGAAGAACTAAGTCTTTGTAGGCCGGGTCCTGCCGGGTCACAAAGTCAGTAACAGTAGTTTGTAATAATTAATTCATCCCTCAGTTCATCATTAATATTATTTAGCAGGGTACCTCTCCATCCACTCCCCCAGCCCGTTTCTCCTGCCAGGATCCAGAAATTTATGGAGTAGTCAGTCATACTACTCACTTAGACGTGTGGTCAGACAACAACTGCACAAAAAACTATTTTTGGCCCATCTTCCTCAAACACGTCTCTGTTGCTGAAACACCAGCGAGCACCGAGTTAAAAAAAACCACACATTTATTTAACTCACCTGAAATCGCACATCCACACTTCCTCCGCTCACACATGCTCCTCTTCTGCCACTCGTGCTTTCACTGCACTTCACACTGCCACACTCAGGGGTCCAGGGAGAGGTTCTCAGACAAGTCTGGGAATCTTTATACAAAGACAAGTGTTAATATGAGCCAGAAATATACAACGAGCAAAGTTTAGCCGAGGCTGCATGAACTCAGGGTGTTCAACGATCCAGCGATGAGACACTCTGAGCCACAAACCCTGAATACTGGCCGAGGAGACAGGACTAGTCAGAGCAGGTGCATCAAAGGCCGGAGCCCAATATTGACATCCGCCCAGGCAGGGAGGAGACAGCGAGGAGAAGAGAGAGGGAGAGCGAACACAAAAACAATTTAGAGTCAGCCGGAGAGACTCGGGGACATTGATGCAAAGGTCAGACTTCCTAGTTTTGTTATTTTGCACTTATTTTAGTTTGTTAAAACCAGTAATTAGTTCAGCATTCCCGTTTCTGAGTTCACATTTAATAATAATAATGGATTGCATTTATATAGCGCTTTCAAGGCACCCAAAGCACTTTACAATACCACTATTCAGTCACTCTCACATTCACACACTGGTGGAGGCAGCTACAGGTGTAGCCACAGCTGCCCTGGGGCAGACTGACAGAAGCCAGGCTGCCATATCGCACCATCGGCCCCTCTGGCCAACACCAGTAGGCAAGTAGGGTAAAGTGTCTTGCCCAGGGACACAACGACCAGGACAGAGAGCCCAGGGATCGAACCGGCGACCTTCTGGTTATAGATGCGATTCCCAACCCCCTGAGCCACGGTCGCTCATTTGGGTCTTTCCTCTGCCAGCCACGCAGCCACCATGGCAGAACTTGACCTCATTATGGACCCAGCAGACTCACATTGTCTCCTGAGGAAATGTGTGCCCAGCTTCAGGGTTGCTGTCAGAGCGTGGTTTATTTAAAGACCTTTTCAACAGACACTTGCAAGTTATTTTTCTTGATGACTTCCTGTCGTCCACAACCTGTTCTGGGACGTTTCCCAACATGGAGTGTTTGGCTCAAGATGAACAAACCTCCATTTTGAACTGTTTCTGACCTTTAGTGACCTCTGACCTTTAGTGACCTCTAACCTTTAGTGACCTCTAACCTTGTGACCTCTGACCTTTAGTGACCTCTGTCCTCCTGTTGCAGGTGTGTGTGTGCTGCTGCTGTCTGCACCGACTGTTTCTGCAGGTGAGGAGATGGAAGTGAAAACAATCAGTGAGACTCCAAAAGAACACAAATACACTTACTGTGTGTGTGTGTGTGTGTGTGTGTGTGTGTGTGTGTGTGTGTGTGTGTGTGTGTGTGTGTGCCCAATATTGACATCCGCCCAGGCAGGGAGGAGACAGCGAGGAGAAGAGAGAGGGAGAGCGAACACAAAAACAATTTAGAGTCAGCCGGAGAGACTCGGGGACATTGATGCAAAGGTCAGACTTCCTAGTTTTGTTATTTTGCACTTATTTTAGTTTGTTAAAGCCAATAATTAGTTCAGCATTCCCGTTTCTGAGTTCACATTTGGGTCTTTCCTCTGCCAGCCACGCAGCCACCATGGCAGAACTTTACCTCATTATGGACCCAGCAGACTCACATTGTCTCCTGAGGAAATGTGTGCCCAGCTTCAGGGTTGCTGTCAGAGCGTGGTTTATTTAAAGACCTTTTCAACAGACACTTGCAAGTTAGTTTTCTTGATGACTTCCTGTCGTCCACAACCTGTTCTGGGACGTTTCCCAACATGGAGTGTTTGGCTCAAGATAAACAAACCTCCATTTGGAACTGTTTCTGACTTTTAGTGACCTTTAACCTTTAGTGACCTCTGACTTTTAGTGACCTTTAACCTTTAGTGACCTCTGACCTTTAGTGACCTCTAACCTTGTGACCTCTGTCCTCCTGTTGCAGGTGTGTGTGTGCTGCTGCTGTCTGCACCGACTGTTTCTGCAGGTGAGGAGATGATGTGAAAACAATCAGTGAGACTCCAACAAGAACACAAATACACTTACTCTGTGTGTGTGTGTGTGTGTGTGTGTCCTCCAGTGTCTCTGTCTGTCAGTCCAAACCTTCAGCAGGTCTTCAGAGGATCTTCTTCAGTGTACCTGAGTTGTGTTGATGATGGACAGACAGCTGATGGATGGACAGTGAAGAGGACCAGAGGAGGACTCACTGAGGACTGTGGAGCAGCTGGTTCAGAGTTTAGTAGGATTAACAGTTCCTTCTGTGTTCTCGGTCTCAGTCTCTTCACTGGTGGAAATTTCCTGTGTGTAAGCTCATCTGGACATCAGAGTGAAGAAGTCTCCATCAGTGTCTCAGGTACAGACAGATGTTCCAGCTGTGTCTCTGTTTCTGTCTGTCTCTGTGTCACTCTGTTTGTGTCTCTGCTGGACAGGCAAAGATGTGATCCTGGAGATTCCTGCACTTCCTGTCATGACAGGAAGTGATGTCACTTTGTGCTGTACACCCAAAGAGGGAGAAAGACGAAAGTCTCACTTCTTCAGAGATAATGTTACACTTGGATCTGGACCTGAAGGAAAGTGGATTCTCTCTAACGTCCAGCGGTCTGATGAAGGTCTCTACTGGTGTTATACTGATATTCATCCACCTTCTCCTCAGAGCAGACTGAGGGTCAGAGGTCAGGGCACTGACATCATTTCCTGTTTAAAGACAAACTAACCTGCTGACCTGATAATAAACTGACTGAATCATCTTCATCATCTCTCCTGCAAATCCTCCTCCTCCTCCACCCACTACAACCTCATCTCCTGCTTTCTTATTCTTTGGTATTACATCTATAGTAGACTCCCCCTCCCCTCGTTCTTCTGCTCCCCCCATCACCCCTCTTCCTCCCCCTCCCTCTATGTCAGTGCTCAGACTCGTCTTGCACCTGGTGGTCTTCTGTCCATACGTGGCCTGCACTGCTCTGCTGCTGTCCATCTTCTCCACCAGCTCAGGTAGATATGAACAAAGTCTCTCTGATCACTCACTTCAGTGCTCCATCCTTAAGTCTTAACCCTGCCCACAGGTAACACACCTGTCGTTTCCATGGAAACGAGCCATCCTGCTGTACAGGATGGCGTCACCACTGAGCATCACTTCTGACCTCTGAGCTGACAGGAAGTGAAGGAGCTGGAGCAGCTGGGATGTTCCTGTGTCTGACCCAGAGTCAAACCTGTGGTCTGTAAAGACTCCTCAGTCGGATCTTTGAGTCAGTCAGCTTCTCAGTGAACTGGTCAGCTGTTGACTGGATGGATACAAACATTAACCTTGTGCTTTTATGTGTTTAATGCTTCAAGTGACCAGAAAATGCATTTTTTAGTATGTGTTATACTGTAAGGTCAGATCAGACAACTGGTATGATCAAGCACTTTGTGAGAGCGGGAATGAAAAGCTGAACTGATCAGTGATTGGATCAAACAGTCTCTGAGTAAGACCTGACTCTGTTTCTGTGTTGATTTATGCTTTAATAAAACATTCGAACATTACAGAGCAGATACTTCAGTGACACGGAGAATCAGAGTCACAGAAACAGGATTGAAGTGATTCAGGAGTGTGAACTCTGGCTGATGATGAACTATGGCATTTATTAGGGTTTATTGTATGCTGATGAGGTTAGCCTGAGAGCGCTAACAGCAGTCTGAGCCACAGCCTTAGAGTGTGAGCACCAATAAGCTGTGATGGAAACAGGAGCAAACTGAACATAGTCAAACATCACAGACACAGAGCTGATCCTATCGTGTAGGATCGGGAAGTGGAACCACACGAGGAAACAGCTGACACGGATGCATAATGACACCACAGGGCAAGAGTAGAACTAAGCACACTGAACAAGGGAAACAAGACCTTTCAAAATAAACCTGCAGAGAACGGGACATGACCCAGACTAGACAATATGAGAACGGACGGAGAATACATGACACAAAAGACCAGGACACACATACACCAGGTGACATGAAGAGTCTCATAAAACTCAAGGCAATAAATATTAATACTAAGACTTAACATTAGGGATGGGTACCGGTGCTCGGTGCCATGATTAAAGTGTGTGCGTGTGAGTCCCCATAGGGAAATAGTTCTTCTGCATTTAACCCATTCACCCAGTGAAGCAGTGGGCAGCCACCAATGCAGCGCCCGGGGAGCAGTGTGTAGGGACGGTACCTTGCTCAGGGGTACCTCAGGGTAGCCGTTCAGTGGAGTCGAACCCCCGACCTTCCGATCATGGGCCACCACTCTACCTACTGAGCTATCCCTGCCCCCATGATGGCACCGGTTCTGACATAAACGGTAGTAACCAGACCGAAAAGCAGCGCACATTTCGGTGCTTTTTTTTCCTGAGCTATGATACACTTTAGATTCTAGCCAATCATTTTACGTTTCCGAGGATAGTAGGCGGGGCCAGGTACGTACGTTCTTATAGAGCAGAGCTACAGATTAAAAATGTCCAAGGCGAAGCGGTCTGGCTGTACTTCACAGCAAAAGATGCAAACTCAGCAGCAACAAGTGCTTTAAGCTGATACTGTGATACTGTCAAAGGAGGTAACACCTCAAATCTGATGAAACACCTGGCGACACATAGCGTTTTTTTAAAAGCCTAGAAATGCGCCGTATTTGATAGCTTGCTGCGAGACCTCACACCGAGCACATCTACTGCGGGTGTGGTGCCTGTTATCAGACCCGGAGTTAGCAACATCCCCAAGAACCCGAAGAGGAGAGTCCTGGCCCCTAGCCCTGCCAGTGTAGCAGAAATGATGAGGATGATGATGCAGCAGCAGCCGTTCTTCTCTGCGTGAGTAGCTTAATGTTGTTCGTGTGTAATTTATGCTGAGTAGGCTAACCACGTTATTACATTAATGCATGTAAGGTGAACTAGCAAACACCATCATAGCTACATGCGGCTGTCTTCTTGTTTGATGGCAGATACTCCCTTCACCCTGGCCAAAAAGGCTAAATGACCAAAGAAAAAGTGGAAAACAGCTGAACATGAGAGGTTTCTGGACAAAGTTTGTGTTTTTTCCATTGTTTAAGCTTCCAGCCAAGAGTGATACCATATATGCCCCATAGCTGCAGAAAAGGCTAACATTGTTATCTTTTTACATAAAACCAGCTGAACATGAGAGGTTTTTGGACCAATTTTGTGTTCTCCATTCTTTAAGCACCGGTTCAGCACCGTTTAAGCACCGGCACCGTTTCAAAAGTACCGGTTTGGCACGGTATCGGTTTAAAACCTAAATGATACCCATCCCTACTTAACATTATTTCATAAATACTCCAAAAATACAAAATTACTCAACTAAAACCTTTAACTTAAAACATAAGAAAACAATACAAAATAACACGAAGCATTACATGAAAGACAGCCCCTGAACAACGTCTGATATTCATATCTTTAGTGTGAATAATTTCACTGTTTCCTCATGTTTGTCCTGCCAACTATGAGAAGTGACCAAAGAGAAGAACAGGAACTTCTTAACTGTGTCTAAAACTGAAAGAAGGAAAAGCGAATAACAAGCCGTCACCTCGTTTTGAACTGTTGAAATCTGAAAACAAGAATCAAAACCATTCACACTAAGAACTGGACCTGTGCTTTACACCACCCAGGCCTGATGGTGGGCCCATACTGTTGACAGCCTCTCTGATGGCTGCAGGTCAGTTGTATAGCTGGGCTTGGTTCACCGCTGTCATGGAAAACGTGTTACTGTGAAAACATGCTGACGTAACAGGAGGCCTGTTGTCACTCGCGGGGCCTAACATCCTGATGCTGTGTCACCTAGTGTACAATGTTACGCTTTGGGTGCGAGGACGTGTTGTAAGGGAACCAGAGGAAACATAGAAGCCTATAAAAACTTATTCCACGTACAGATCTGATCTGAAGACAGCAGAGCAGGTGACACGGACACTTTCATATAATGAGAAGCCAGAAGGAGACACGTGGCTGCTCAGTGATGGTGGTTTACTCTTCAACCACACATCTTCCTTATTCTGACCGAACCGACCAATCGGGAGGTCGGAGGTATGAGGTCAGTCTGGAGAAGCCACAGATATATATTTTAGTGACACCCTTCATGAATCCAACAGAAGGGTTTTAAAGATGTGTGTAAACGTGACTGACTAAGCTTTGAACCTTGTTAAAATTCACACTGATGTAAATATAATCTGTATGAGATGTTTAATCCTGACATCGGTCACTGCCTGCGCTGTGATGAAGATGAAACAGCAGCCCACAGACCTGAAACTCACAGTTAAAATAAGAGCAGCTGTCCTCAGAGCAGCAGGAAACCACAGATTAAGGAGACGGGAGGCTAAAAATACTGCAGGGCTGAGAGAGGAAGCTGATGAGGCTGACAGATGTTCTTCTTCTTTTTCTTTTTTCTGCCTGTCCCGTTTGGCTCTTTTGCATCAGAATTATTGTCTAAAGGCGAAGATGCCCAACGGATTTACTTTACCAAATGGACCATCCCAGCCTTGCCGTATTGGTCCATGTGATACATCTTTTATCGTTTATTTTATTTTAACTTGCTAAATTAGGACAGACTTGACTGGGGAAGAGGAAAACAGCGGGAAAGAGGAACGGTCATAGAGGGCAAAAAACAAAAACCAAGTGTTTTTCCCAGGTGTTCCCTCTCTGCCCTGAATCTGTCACAACAGCCAAAAGCTGGTAGGAAAACAAGTGAAGCACTTAGCAACAAAAACACGGAGCACGTGAGCCGATTACCAACTTGGTGTAATTGACAAACTGTCATTGAAGGAGGGTCAACGTGGAGCTTAAATCTCTGAATGAGCTCCAGGTATGTGAAGCTGCTGGAGATGTGCAGCCCTGCCCAGGGTGGAGACCAGGAAACTCACAAACCGGGCGGAAACCTCCAGTCTCATTGCAGAATCCCTTTTGGTGTCCTTGTCTCCCATGTTCTACGTCGTCTTCTCCCTCGTGGCTGGCCATGTGCTCCGTTTGTTAGTTTAGTTTCCTGAATTCCCAAGTTTAGCTTTGTATCTTTGGGACTCCGTCAATAAAGGTGTGTTTGTGAGTTACAGGCAGACTGTAACATTTGAGTTACTTCACACTGCCGTTTGACATTTGTTATCGACCTTATATTCTGTCACTCATACACGTTACAGGAATAGTTAGTGGAGAAAGCTTTGAAGGAGCAGTTCTTTTGTCTCCTAATGTTTTGACCACCGCCGCTGGTCGCCCGCTAAGGACAAGAAGAGAAGAAGAAAGTTAAAGAGCAGCTGTAGCTTCGGCCCTCTTTTATCTGATGTTATTTGTCCATAACTGACATGTTCAGTTTTCACTGGTGTTCCAGCCGACTCTGCAGAGTAAATCATATCTAAATGACCACAGATACAACTACAGTAATACAGCCTAATAATAATATGAAGCATTACGGAGGCTTTCTTATAAAGTAGCAATTATTTCTTCAGGCTAAATGATGATTTAAATTGTTACACATCATTTCTTCTCCAGCTTTCGAGTTATCGGCTTTAAAATGCTGCATCCAGAATCAGTTGTATGAAAAAGGATCAACTTTTTGGGATTAGCTAACCTGGGTGACTGCGCAGGCACCAAAACATTAGCCGGTTTAGGCTAATTGTTGATTTTAAATTGTCCATAGTTGTGAATCTGAGACTAGAAGAGAAATGATGTGTTAATTGAAATTGTTTATTGTTGCGTTCTTTCAGAGTGCAGTGAGTCATTAAGCTGCTTGAATGTCAATAAAAATGAGAAAAATTGTGGCGTTCTTCAGCCTTTGACAAGTAGTGATTATATAAACATAATTACACATGTGTGTGTGTGTGGACCACATCACATCAGGAGAACACAGCATGAACTGTTCCCACAGTATTGACCATCCTGCTGACCTCTGACCTCGTGACAGATACTCACCATCACACCTCAGCTTCATTATTATGAATGATTGAAATTGCTGTTTGTTTTAA